TGTGGTCCTTGGGCCAGGACATCATGGTTCTCCTGCCCTGCTTTGCTTACCTCCACTCTGCCCATCTGCCTATCTCTGCCGTTTTGGCCACTGTGCATTTAGCTGCCCCCAGCTGACCTCTGTCATCTTCTTCCTCCTGCTGTTGTGAGGTGTGCCTGGCCTAGCCCTCTGCGAGGCACCTACTGGCTGTGCCAGGCCTTCCTCCTGAACCTATGCGAGGCCGTGTGAAGGGCCAGGTTGAGCGCAGCCCGCAGAGGAAGATAGCAAAGATCAGGTGCAAGCAGCAGAGGTAGCACAGTGCAGGGTGTCCAAACAAGGCAGAGATGGGGGGGGAGCAGTTGAAGCATACCTTGTAGTTATAAATATTGGTGGGGGATGGGGGGGTAGGCGGGCAGTTGAAGCATACCCTGTAATTATAAATATTGGTGCAGGGCTGCTTCAATGGCCCTAACTGGACACAAGTACCATTAATGTAGTGCTGTGGTACCTCTGAACGATCAATGAACTTCTTCCCAAAACTGTGGATCCCAAGTACAACTTAAAGCCATTCTCTCTCTTTTTTCTGTAAAGTAGTAATCAGGCCTTACCAGGACTTCAGGCTCTGAGATGGGAAACCGAGACTCTGGGTGTTTGCCACCAAAACACACGGCCATCTTGGCTTTCCTGAAAGAAAACCACAAGAGAGTTTTAGCTAGACATCTGCTTTCCACACTTGAATGGCACCAATATTCTTCTCCAGGCCAGCTGGCTGAAAAGATATCGGCTTGGTTCACACACATTGTGCTAATTCATAAAGTAGCTGGTTGTGCACTGGTTTAGCAAATTCCAGAAACATGGACTTCTATGCTCATAATTCCTTAATCATTCTAGGATTCCACACTTCTGGAAATGACCACCTAGGAAGCCTGCCTTAGCATATTGCATGAATCCAGCATATTGTGTCTACTCACTAATCCATGGTTAATCAAGCCATAGTTTAATAATCACCCTTTCTTCCTCCATCACACTAAAGCTCCACCAACTAGGAAGCTACCAGATCCCCTCTTGCCAAGGAGATAAAGGGACCTAGAATCTGAGCCCATACTTTTGTTCCAACTGCTCCAAACGCCCCTTGACTTGTGCAGCTTTCTTGTTCAATTGTTGGCGTTCTGCTGTAACCCGTGTGGAGTAGGCCTTTAGGAGCAAACTGCGTTGCTTGGCATCCCGGATCTTTTCCTGAGTCGTTTCCAGGGTGACCTCTAGATGCCAAGGAGAACAATAGTTGCAAATCAGGGTATGTAAAATGTGAACAGTTGAACCTACAACAGAGGCTCATTTGTTCTGTTTTAATGTATTTGGACGCTGTGATTCAGCCAAGGTGGCTTATAAACACAGCTCAACAGTCCTCTGAGGAGTTCACAGTGGAATCAAAATGTTTTCCCTGTTTGCTCTCAACTCACCACTGGCTACAAGCTCACGCTGCGTCAATTCTATCTGAAGGTCCACCTGCTGTATTTCTTCCTTCAAGCGAGAAATGGCCTGAGTTAGATGCTTGCGGCGTTCTTTATCTGATTCAGAGTCACTGGGCTTGCCCTGGGAAGAAAGATCAATCTGTAACATTACCAAGGCCACTTCTCCATCTTTTAGTCCTTGCTTCCTATTTGAGCAGAGTCACAGAATGATCCCTCCCGCTCCTTCTTTAAAAGGTCCACAGCTGGAAGCTCATCCTTGCTATGATGGCCGTAGTTCTCTTTGGAGGACCAGAAAAGTCCTTGCAGAACTTGTCGCAGAAGACAGCCCAGGTCATTCATACCTCTTTACATTAACTGCCAACAGTTTCAAGCATGGATCTTTCCAAGTGGTGGAAGCCATACCCATGATCTTCCTGCTACTGCTGGATTCCAATGGCCACCAGGTCAAGGTTGATGGAAGACATAGTAGTCTAACATTAGGCGAGCCACACTCCCCCACCTACAGGCCCAAACCTTTGGAGGCAAAGCAAACGTTTTGCTTCATTTTGTTCTCACTCACCTCACCTTTTTCCATCTGCTGATACCTAGATAACAAAAAATAGGATCAAGAACACAAATCTTTAATTTGTTTGGAATTCCTTTGGGCAAGGCCTTATATAAGGTTATAAAAACCAGCACATTTTCCTTTTGAAAGGAAGCAGCTGGTCAGAGGGAAGAAAACTATGTGTCAGACAGACTCTGTATTATGGATGACATCTTTGAAACATGGCAACATTTCCCTTGGTGCACACTTGTCAGCTCAATAAACGCAGACCAATGCCATATTGGTTAGGACTATCCTTACTGGGACAGCTCTAGTAAAAAATCTGGCAAGTCTGAATGTCCAACCCCCATCCCTCACTTTATCTTTATGTGAAATAGGGAAGGGTTCTCTGAATGTTTCCTCAAGTTATTTTCTTGGCCTGGGCTCAAGCGCCTCTTCTCTGATTAGTGCCTTCCTGTTTTTCCAAAGCCATTCCCTACACCCTTTGCAACTTTTGATTGACATTTTTTTCTGAATAAACCTAATGCATTGTTGCATCTGCAAGCATTAAACTGTGCAGAATATTGAACAACGCTCTCATATTTCAATCGCTTACTCTGCACTGATTTTGCCTTTTTGCCCTAGAATGTATACGAAACAAAATCCTAGACTCCCCCCAGCAGTTCAAGAGATTCCAAGATCACAATCCCCGTTCGACCACAGGACAAGAAACAGCTTTATTAGGTGTTATTTTAGCCAGCAAGAGAGGACTCGCATCTTATGAAGGGGGAGCCCTTGGGTGATTCCCAAGCTTGGCAACCTGAAAATGTGTGGACTTTTGACTTTTGCACAGCTGGCTGAGGAATTCTGGGAGTTGAAATCCACACATCTTCAAGTTGGCAAGACTGAGAAGCACTGGGTTAGTCAGTGTTCCAGCAAAACTGTGTGATTAGAGGTAGCCTTTTAAATCTTTCTCTTTCCACCATTAGCAGCAGATTTAAACAACCGAGGTGTTTTTAAGACCATATTATTATTGCAACAGTTTTCATTGTTTTGCTCCAACCAATAGGAAGTATTGGGTGAAAAGTATTCACGATAGTTGAGGGTTTCAGGGTTTAATCTCTCAAGACCATTATGGGAAAGAAAGAAAACTGGACTCTATCCAGAAAAAAATGTTAAGAAAAGGATACCACAGTATGTTCCCACGGATCTTCTTTACAGTCCTGCAATATAAGCAAGATGAAAGTGTTTAACAGGGCACAGGATTCACTCTGAAAAATGTGCTTAAGGTGCAGAATAATGTGGGTCAAAATAATAGAAGTAAGCCCGGCTGTAAAATATTGCAAAGAATGTTGTGCTGGAATGCTATCTATATACTTGTAAAACAAAGGGAAGAATAACACTGTGGCTGGGTTTACATCGCCGGCTAGACTATGCTAATACTCAATTTGTGGTTCATCCACTTAACTTAAAGGAAACCCAGTCACAATCTTACAATGTTACGTGAACCAGGCCGTTATTTAAGCCATTTCATTTGGGTATTGAGTATTGTACAAATACAGAATTTCTATTTTCTTAACTCAGAGAAAGTCGCCCATTTTTTTTCGAGACTGTTGGCAATGAATGCCAGATAAGATGCCAAACAAAAATCTATAGCCGTGTACTGCTGGAAGAAATTCCTCTACTCCTTGATCTGCAATCCAAATCCTTTGCACAGTTCTGGACTTCAAATCTAGAATTCTAAACCCTTTAAAGGACACAGACCAAACAAAGGCAGAAGAAGCCCCAAGGAAAATTCTGACTATCTGATCTCCATCTTGGTATTCCTACCTCTGATGATGAACGTGGCGGATGATATACTTCCAGATGTCAGCACACTGACCTGAGCACATTCTGAGGGTAAAGAATGAGAGGGAGGGAGGAAGAAGTAAAAATCCATGATGTTGGTAATTATATCATACAATTTCACATATTTGTCAAAATATTTCCAGATAGGAAGTCCAAATTATTAGAACCTACAATCCTATCCTAAAACATTCTTTTTTTGAACTATTACCGTCTGGCACAAGGTACAGGATAATGAAAACAAAGATACACAGAGTGAAAAATAGTTTTGATTCCAGAGCTGTAGCCATATTAAATACTGTATAGTGCAACATTGAAGTGCAATATTAGCGGCAGCGCAATGATGAATAGAATATGAAGAATGCATGTATATAATAATGTATGTTTTTACTTGCGGATTTTACTTGTCTGTAGTGTGCACTGTGGACAGCCCTTAATTTCAATGACAATAAAGATATTCTATTCTATAATCTATTCTATTCTGTAATATATTCTATTCTATTCTCTAATCGTCGTCTACTATTCTATTCTATTCTATTCTATTCTATTCTATTCTATTCTATTCTAATTCTATTCTATATGCTGCCTATACATAACCAATTCATTCTTCATCTGCGGTTGAGGGCCAATTAAATTTATTAAGATGCAAGGGAACCCAGGGTAGGAGAGGAGCGATCCACCCCCTCCAGTCCAATCTGCAGTGCTCACCGTGCTCGATAAGTTTATTCTCACTACAGCCAGCAGACTGGGAGAGCACTTTGCAGATGCTCAGAAATACTCTCGCCCCTTTTCACCCATGTTCACCCACCTGCGTGCGGCCTTCTGGGAGGGAACTTTGCCCGGAGGAAGCTTCATCTCTTCCGCCGCCCAGCGCCTGAGGTCCTCGGCCAGCGAAGCCCCTGTCCACGCCGCCCCCCGCCCGGCGACACTTTTACCGGTCGCCATTGCCCGCGTCCGTCTCAAACTCCCGCGCCGTTCGAGACAGACTCCGCCCCCCGCAGAGCACGCTGGGAAATGTGCTTCGCCCGCGCGCGGTTTTTCTGACAAATTTTCTACTGGGCGAGCGCCGCCCTTCGCGATGCCGTATGGGAAGTGTAGTTTGTGGCTACCCGCTAGGCTGAAGACCCAAGAGGGGATGGACTACAGCTACCACAAGCCCTGGTTATTTCCGCGGGGGACGATGGGAGTTGTGGTCCAAAAGGTCTAAGGGAACTGTCGTGTAAAGTACAGGAGGGCGGAGACGTTTGACTCTTGCAATTGGGTTGTTTCTGGTTGCAGTAAACGGAGCAAAGTGAAGGGGAGTGTTTTAAGGGCGGCTTTGTGAAGTAAAAAGAAACCATGGTTTAAAAAATAATAACGCTAAGCCGTTATGTGCCTTAAGTGTGCAAACCAGGCACGTCCATTAAGTGTAGCATTACTTGCGTGTCTTTAGCATGCTGTACGAACGCTCCTCTTAGGCTGCTAACCATGATAACGTCATTCAACATGCGGTATATTTATTTATTGTAAATTTAGACAGATTTATTGCCTATTAGAAATAGGTTATTATCTGTTTGTTTGGATTTATTTATATATTGGTTTGTTAACATTAGTTGCCCAACTGCAATGGGCCAGGTAGGTTGTTCTTATGTAACTTGAGCGCTGCTAAACGAATTAAATGATTTTTTTTTAAAAAAAAAACCATTTCTTTAAATCAAGGGATGCTGGCCTGTATTGTAATCTTCTCTCATTCTCTAGTTATTATTTCTAGTCAGGAGCAGAAATAGCATTTCAGCTGTATAATAAATATGCCCATTACAAATCTTTGTCACCAAGTCTTTCTTCTATCTAGAGCCAGTCCAGAATGGTAGCCTTTCTCATTCAGTGGGACAAAAGCAGAACCTGAATTGTTCCCAATTGATGGAGATGACCTTGTGGAAGAAATGAGCCAACCATTAAGGAGCTTGCAGAAGAGATTACATGGTCCAGAGGGGGGTGGGGGAGGTGAAAAATTGGGTGTGCAAAAGTGTGAGGAAGGCATAGTGTAGAAAAATATCTCTGAAATGATGACCATGGGTCATGGGTTGCCTACTGGGCTATAAAAACAGAATCTTTAAAGCCTGACAAAGTTTGTCCTTTCCTCCTTATACCAAAAGTCAGCTTTAATCCCCCCCCCCCCATCTCATTTTCCTAGATGGAGCTCAAGTGGTCATCTCTGTGTTTCTGTATGCTGATAGAAACAGGACTGCAGGTATCCAGGGCAGCAATTGTTCAAAAACGTACTTGAAACTGAACAATCTTCTATGAAATATAACCATGTCCTTCTTGCTGTGGTAACTCAACAATTACAGAAATAGGTGAGTTTGGGCCCAGAAAATATCTTAAGGTGGCTGTCTCCTTGAAGTGGGGTGAGGGCTTTCATATCTGGATTGCAAAAACCCAAACAACCATTCAGTGGAAAGACGGAGATAGATTTTTCTGTACTGTTTGCCTTTGCTGCTATTTGGAGTTTTGCAGCCTACATGTAGTAGCTATACCGTATAGATTTCATGTGGGAACAGTGGAGTTTTTTCATTTATTAGGGTACTTAAGACTCCAGTTATACTCAACCGAACACCTATGAATAAATGCAAATCTTACAAAATGCCACACATCCTTCTCCCCGATGAAAGAAATCTTTGTTAAATTCTGTGTCTTTGGTTCTTTTCAGTGTAGAGAGTGATGCCCACAGCCTTTGGAATACGAAGTATGTGCATTACCAAGGAGCTATGATTTGTTTTCTAGAATCATCCCTCTTATTTTAAATGAAGGTTCCGAAAAACAGAATACCCTTTTCCCAAGGCCAAGTTTCAAACAAACCATCTGCCAAATCAAATGAAATTTTTATTATGGCCAAAACTAGCACAAGAAGGGTGATTTACAGTCAATTAGAAAAAAAATAAAGAGACACCAGAGTCTTAAAAAATATGAAAAGCCCAATGTCTTTCTTATTCTGTATATTTATGGTAAAAAAACAAACCATGGCAGCATGATGAACAAACCTTGGCTTTCTATCCATTGGTTTGAAAAGCAATTCTCTTTCTGGTGAAACATATATTCATCCACATAAGAACTGTTTTTTTAAATGAAGAAAATATTTATTATCATTAGGATTGAAAAGTGAAGTGTGTTGGAGGGGATTTGGGCACAAACCAATTCTAAAATAACCTCAATAAAACTAAGATGCAGGGAAAGAAAATAATAAAGAGTTTGTTCAGGAAACAATTACTGTTCTGAAACCAGCTTTGCCACTGGTTGTCTCTAGTTGGAGAGTGATGATTTGATTACTGTATCTGAAGATGCTATTCAAGGAGATGGGCTGGAATATGGATTTGTAAAAGACCTTTTATTTCTTTGAAGATACAAAGTCAGAGGAATTAAAGTCATTAGACATTTGCTGTATTGTGGGACTACAGGCATAAAAAAACCCAGCGTTTTCCTAAATTAATACTGCACATTGGACAGGTGAGTTCATCTTCAGATTCTTTGTCTGCTTATCCAGACACCACTGCAGAGATTTAATTCTGTCTGAAACACATTCACACCTAGAAATATGTTTACTTGCTCCTTTCCATGTAAGATACATGAGAAAAGATGCTAAACAAAAAAATTCAAAAGCAAATTGTATGTGGGTTGAAAATGCTCTGTCTGGTGTCTATTTACAGTCAGACCTGCTAATTAAGGAAGCCCTATTAAGTGCCTATCACAGAAATAAATTACAGTACAATCTGCTACGGACACACACCCTCTTGCTATCTTTGTCAACAAAAGGAAGGATAACATACATGACATGAAACAACCACAACATTTATGCATTGAAGCTGAAAAATCTTTGTAAATGCATACATTTGAAATGCAATAAAGCTTGCAAGTTCCAAAGCTAAGGACATAATGTAATAATTTATTTGGAATATATATTAAAGTTGAACCTATTCAGATACAAATGCAGGAGAGAGTGTGGGCAGGGGGTGGGGATTGGAGGGAATCACAGACCCAATTCTGAGATGTTAGAAACTCTTTGAAAGCTGCCATGCCCAGCCCAGAGCTTCTTTCCTGCCTTGCTGCCTCTTATCTAAGTGTGCACTCAAATGCAATCCTTTCCCCATACCATTCAGCTGAATTTGGAAAGCTGATAATGTGCTTTTTCTGATTCATGGCTGGCTGGGGAATTCTGGGAGTTGAAGTTCACCCATCTTAAAATTGCCAAGGTTGAGAAACACTGTTCTACATGTCTTCTCAAAAATAATCTTGGAGAGCTTAGTGGATATTGGCTTCTCTTTGAAGAAAAGGAAGAAATGGATTCAAGATATACAAGTAATATGTTTTCAGAATCAGGAATTTTAACATGACATTCAAAAACAAATGTCAATTTTGAGAATAAGGGCAATTCCATACCACATTTTTTTCTCCCACATCCAAAGAAATAGACATTAACTTGCAAACTTTGTAATATCTGCCCATCATAAAATCAGATTACAGGCAAAAAATATAAGAAAAAAAGGCAAAAAGGTAGGAAGAAAGGAAGGGGAAGAGAAAGAAAGGAAGGAAGGAACAAAAGGAAGGAAAAATGAATGAATGAATGAAAGAAAGAAAGAAAGAAAAAGAAAGAAAGGAAAAAGAAAGAAAGAAAGAAAATTCAACAAGTGCCCCATCTTAAGATACTGCAATTTTGGAGCAATGAAAACTGTATCTCTCCTTATGTCTTCCCTCCCACCACCATTCACCTTGGAAAAAGCATTTGCAAAAAATAAAGATCAGTTTTAAAGACTCTTGCTATTTATAATGCTGAAAGGATAGCATGCAAACAGTTTTGCAATCAATCATTCCCATCCATCTCACTAATAACTATAGTCATGATTGCATACTGCTGGAAAGGAAGAGAAAAAAAATCTAGGCTGCAGGACAGACAAGTTGCTGGGGAGAGGCTGAGGAGAGAGAGGATGAAAGGAAAATTTATGGAACAATAAAAACTAGCAGGCATCTGACAAACGAGAAAAAAGAAAAATAAATTGGAAACAACCATACTCCATTTAGGAGGAGTCAGTGGGTGGAGAACCGCCTAGAATTTTGCACATCTACTTATCCCTTGCCGTGAAAAGGAAAGCAACAGGGCTTTCCTGAGATGAAATACTAAGGATTTTAAAATTCATAACAATTTCAACCAATTCTGGCGGTGTTTTAAAAGTAAATCAGCAGTTGACTTTGGACATTTGAAAAAAAATCTGACTGATTTCTATGAGAGGGATCTGTATAACTGGCAAGCCACCATCCCTCTTTTAGGACCATGAACATTCAGACTATAAACATCAAATGATAGTGAAATGAGACACTCATTCTCCCAATAAGAAAGCAAACCATCTGCAAGTTCTGTAGGGCTTCGATCTCACAAAAGAAAAGGTCGATTTATTTTGTTCATTTATTTACTTATTGCATGTTTGGGATACAGCTTAGCTGCTGACTGCAGGCAACAGCATCAGAATATCAGATCTGAGTTGATTTGGGAGCAGTGTAAAGACCCTGTTTCAGAAGTGCTTTAATGAGAGATTAACTTTCTCCTGATACCCAAAGGATTCATTTCAGTTTCAAAATATTTTTGAAAGATTATAATCCAAAGCATTTCCTAGTGGAGAAAAATTTCCTTTTGCAAGGCAAAGATAGGAAAGCCCCAGAAAAGAATCCCATGTGCAGATAGATTTTTTTAAAAAAAAAATGTAAATGGCCATCTTACTAGCCTGTTGTTCCTCAGAAGCAATGTAATACAACTCCCCAATCTCCAAGCCTGTTTGAAGAGACTGTTACTGGTTGGGGATGATGGCTGTTATAATTCAGCATATTTGATCCAACATTTCCAGAAGTTGGGAGAAACAAGATCTAAAAGTTGGACAAATGCAGGTGTCCTCTAGGCTTGGCTGCCTCCTAAGAAGCAGAAGGCCATCAGATGCAGACTTCTAATGAGGATGGGATGCAATGGTTGAAACTGTTTAGAGCAGTTTTTCCTCAACCTTAGCAACTCTTAAGATGTGTGGATTCAGGATGCCGGCTGAGGAATTCTGGGAGTTGAAGTCCACACATCTTAGAATTGCCCAGAAAAGATACTTTCGAAATATGATTGTGGTTTATATAAGGATGCATGGTGAAGAAAAGATGAACAGGAGAGATTTTTCTCCTTATCTATAACATTGGAACTAGAGGCTACTCAAGGACACTTACTAGCAAAAGAATTAACATTGATCAGAGGACTACAGAAGTTATAAAGCTGGGAAATATGCTGCCAGAAGATGTGATCTTAGCCACTAGTTTGTAAGGCTTCCAAAGGATGTGAGACTAATTCTTAGATCAATGGCCTTTGGCCTTGATGCTGCTTTCAGGCATGGGACAATCTATCTCCACATGCTACTGGGTGCCCAGGAGCAGCAGTGGGAGAAGAGGCCTACCTTGACCTCTTATCCGTGGGTTTCCTACTTGCATCTGATGGAGTGAGACTGAATGCTGGTTAGAGAGGCCTAAGCCTGATCCAGCAGGACTATTTTCATATTTTCATGACTGAATGCAGGGTTTAAACCCAGGGATCGGAGGGAGAAAGCCTTTCCCCCCCCCCAATACTGTTGCTTTAAGGAACCTTACTCTTTGATAAAATTGGACTGGTACAAAGGATTTAAAATACCGAGACAGAGGATCATTTTTAGATACTTCAGCCTGCTCTTGAATTTGAGAAGCAAATTCACCAGCTGGCAGAGGTCCAAAACTCTGTGGAACCTGTTTGATCAGAAGTGAAAAAGCTTCTCAGCCCGCTCAACAGTTGTTTCAACCACATACCCTAAGGTATTTTGGGGGGCTGCTCTGTTTACTCATGGGAAGATTATTAGAGTTTTTTTACTTCTATCAGTCTTCAAGATATACTTCTACCACTAGTACAACTGATCCCTTAGTAAATACCTCACCAATAAAATCCCATCTTGTATGAAATAAGGACCATTCTGTTCAATGAGACTTATTCTCAATTGTTGCTCCTGAGCTGCATTCAAAGTATAGCTACAAGGACAGTGATGGGGACTTTATTACTATCGAAAATATTATAGAACATCGATTCCCCGTCATTTCTGACCACCGGCTGTCACAACTAGGGCGGATGGGTATAGTCTTAACTATGTGGAGTGCTACAGGTTTCCTCATGCTTGACCTAATGTGTAATTTTCACTTAGGTCAGCTGAACTGATCCTTGACAAAACTGCCAGATCTTTAGGTCACGTAACTAGATTCCAACTTTTTACCCCACAAACCCCGACTTCTAATGAAATATTTTTTTTTAAAAAAAATGTGCTTTTTCAATAAATAAAACCATGCTTTTGCCTGAAATGTTAGCTGTTATTCTTGTTAGGAGATTGGAATTAGCTTGCCAGCTGACAATTATAGCTTTTTTGGTTTTTCTTCACAAACACGAATTGGAACACCATCTCATTAAGTCAGTGATGGGGTTCCTTCCCAGCTGGGTATCATGAATTACCAACTTTGACAACTTTTTAAAACAATGATTCAACCACTGCTTAATCAGCAAAATACAGTATCTTTTTCTGTACAGTACAAAAACACAGGATATGTGTGTGTTGGAACAGATGGGGATTTGGGAGGAACCTTGATTTAAAAACCAAACCAAAGGTGGAATTTGATTTTGTAAACATTACTTCAATGCAATAATAGACTTGGGGACTTTTCAAGAAGTAAAAACTTTTCCTGAGATTATTTTTAAAAACATGAAAAGCTTCAGATACTTGAAATCCTAGTTATTCTGTCCCCTTTTCACTGACACTTGTTGCTAAGCCACCTATGTAAAGAAAGGAATGGGGAAATTAAAAAGAATAATGCTTACTAGATATTTTGACTTCATTTTCTGGCTGATAATGGTCTCTGTTTCTCCAAAAATCATACAGACTCACCAAAATGAGCAGCTTTTGAATGTTCACAGACTTAAAAGCTTTGGAGAACTTAACATCTTCGTGCCCGTAACATATAACAGTCACATTTGGGTGGCTGTAAATCAACCTATTCTCTTATTGTAGTTTTTGGAGAAAGTGTCAAGAGAGCTTTTTCACTTTTCCATTTCTCCTTACCCCAAATGGATGTCCATAACATCACGGAAAAAGCCATTTAAACCATCAAGTTCAACCTCTTACTCAGTGCAGGTTTTTAAATTAAATCCTCCCAAAATGGTTATCTTGCCCCAGCTTGAACACATCAAGTGAAGCAAAGCCCACTATTTATGTAGGTAAAACTGCTTTATGATTGGAAAGCTTTACTATATGACCATGAGGATGAACAGTCAAGGTTTTCAACATAATCATAGGTCTTCAGCAAATAATGAAAGACCCAAGATATTTCTTCCATAACCTTCCAGTGTCATCAAAACCAATGGGATTCTTGTTGGGTTTAAAACATCAGAGATCAGCCTTCTGTTTTCCTGAGATTGAACAAGAAGAGGAAAGAGAAGATCTTTTGCCCAACAAATTTACTTACTGGAAAGGGCACTTTTTCTCAAAAGGTAAAGCTGCAGACAGAACTGAGTGAATGCTACAGAATACAATATCCAATTGCTCAGCAAAACACACAGCACTTTCATTAGTCATGCTAACAACAACGGGAATGTATCACTGGGGACTATTATGGGGTGCAGAAGGAAACCCTTGATGAAACAGAACATATATTCTAGGAAACAGAAGTTAGTCCTCTACTTAACAGATATGCTTAGATCCAATTTTACATTACCTATATCTGGTAAAAATGGCTTGACAATGAATCACAGGTCATTTCCATGCTAGTAATTCATAGCGTCGTCTAGAGTCACCCAACCATTGCTATGTCAAAAGGACAGCAGTTGGGCAGGCTTTATATTTCTTCAACCATAGCTAGTTGGTGCACTGAAGATGCTAGAATTCACTAGGTGATGTTTTCGGTCATCTCATCACTTTGTTTCTTTTTAACCTGAAATCTATGATGCTGGAGTCAGAAAAGGGTGGTAAATGTCCACTGTCTTATACATGTAGAAATAAATGATGCGCCTAAACCATCCCCTGCTTTCTTTTTTATTTTGTTAAAGATAAAGGCGTAGAGTTATTAAGTCATGTGAACTACAATTTGATTTTTTTCCAGCTTGAATCTGGAATGTGAAGTGAATATTGGACAGATAGAGAACCAACTCTACTGCTTATGTTCATCAGCCTTGCTAAGAAAGATCAAGGCTCTTGGGTATTGTGGTGAAAACCAATCCATTGACTTCTCATAGAAACCCAGCCTCTTTCATGGAACCCCATCAGATGGAGGGATACCTAAGAACACAGCTATTCTGGATTTGTCAGTTTGATCCTTATGATTATGACCTGGAATTATGTTCTACTTTGATCGTTTGCTAGCAAATTAGACTAGGTATCCCAAGATTTAGGAATTTACCACAGCAGAAGCAGAAAGAGCTGCCCTCTTACCATTCTGTAACTAACTTGTTGGCTGGCCAAAAGGCAAGTGTTTACTTGTGGGGTTTGTATGTGAGAGAGAAAAAGGGAACCTAATCCGTGTTAGTGTGATCTTCAGTATGTACTCTCCAGGGAATGAAAATCCACCCCATATTTTGGAGTGTGAACATCAGAATATCAAAAACAGTGGATAGTGTGGAGTCCCCTGAGAGATGATGGATGGCCAGCTCAATGATGGTGACGGCTTGGGGTTTCATTCAACTACTATAGTTCCAGTGGGAAGAAAGGCCGTGGTGAGAAGAAGCCTCACTTGACTCGGATTTCAGCATATTCAGCCAACTCCTCCGTCAGGGTGTACTTGTCCTTGGTGGACAATTTGGTGAAGTCTATGTTGGCATAATCAATCCCCAGGTCCTCACGCTTGTTCAACAGCCGCTTGTCACAGCGCCCATACTGGAAGAGGAGGTGAGCAAACAAACAAGATCAGGTTATTGCTTGTGCCAACTCACTCTCTGAGTTACATAATTTGTTTTATTCCTGTAGAATCAAAAGTGGGCTTCCAGATATTGCTGAGGACACTCCCAGTAGTCCTGGCCATCAGGAATAATATTAAGGGATGTTAGGAGGTGTAGTTCAGCAACATCTGAGGTGGGGAGACAAGTTGCATATCACTGCAAGACCTGAAATAGTAGAAACAAAGGACAGGGTGCTATGTACAATAGACCACAAATGGCAAGCGTCCACTTACATGCAAATATTTAATCAAGATCTAGTAATAGATGCAACATAATTTCACCAGGAAAGTGATGACAGACACTACAGAAACTTGACAAAGATATTGCCCGTTTTTTTTTTCCAGAAATATCTGAATACTTCACATATTCAGACACGACAAAATATTTGATGCAAACATATTGTCACACAACACATTCAATAGCTGCTTTTGGAACTGCTTATGATCTGTGTACAAATAGGACAACTATGCAAGATGAGCCATGTTAAAAAGGGTGATTTTTCAAATCGGAAATACTCTTAGCCAACATAGAATTTGCCTTCAAATTGCAGACATGGGAAATGCATGCATGCATGTCAAAAAAAAAAATCCAGTTGAAGTGCTATTCACTGCAAAAACCCTATTTGTGCAGCAGAACAATATGACAAGCAAAATAGCTAGGTTAATGGTTTAACAGACTTAACACATCTATTTTCCTCTGAAAAACATCTCCCTCTCAAAAGTGAAAAAGCAGAGCAGATAAATCTGGCTGTGCCTTCTTCAGAGATGTTACTACCATATGCCGGGTAGTTTTTTGAACTAAAAATAATAACGTGAAAAAGAAATGTGGTCTCCGGTGGCAAAACTTTTTAAAAAATCTTACTGTAGCAGAACCTGTTTTTTCTAAACACCCACGATGAAAGCCATAGACCCGTTTTCATGGAAGTAGGTCTAATCTTATTCAGTCAGAGTCTTGAGAGGGCATGCCAAGAGCAAAGATGAGGAGGAATTTTTTTTTTTAAAAAAAAAGAATTACGATAAGAAAAAAAATCAATTTCTTTTCCACAGGTTGTGATTCTTCCTCTGAATATTCTATTAATTTCTCTCTAGGCTTTATTTCTAAACTGGATTTTTAAAAAGAGTGTGTTATATATTTCAGTATGTTCTCAGCCTCCTGAAGTTCTTTTTAAAAGATAACATCTCCTTTGCATCCAATTTGACTCCTGGTGACTTCATGGGAGTGTCTATGCAGTTGTCACCAGGTCAGAAATGGTTTGTCTCTGTCTTCTGAGGTATTTTCAACTCTCCAATCAAGCCTACATCCCTGGGATTCCCTAGAGATGTCCCTTCCAAATTCATAATCCAGTCCAACCTTGCTTAGCTTCTTATCCCAGACAAAACATTTAGATTCCTGCCACGAAGGGATATAAAAGCCCATAAAACATGCATGGATTCTTTATTTATGGTAGAGGAGGAGGAGGCAATGAGAGGATGACAATGTTACACATGGACAGGGAAGTCCATACTTACTTGGCCAGGTCAGTGGCTTTCCAGGGAGCAGATCTCTTTAGACTATTAGAAAAGGAAGAGTAGTCACTAATGACTCAAAGGGAGAAACTTGGACAAACTCCACCCTGCCAAGAAGTGAGCTTGGGGTGCCGTGAAGTATTGCTAATTCAAGGAGAGAGATTGAAACCGTGGGATCTTTGTGGAACAGGTCATGGCCGTGACAGAGTGATGTAGGGCAGAATGGCCATCTGAGCTTCTTCTCGTGTCTTGTCCTGTCAAGGTCATATTTTGGGTCTGCTCTTGCTTTTTTTCTATGCTGAAAGCAATAGGCCAGCAAACCCCAAGTAAGGAAACCATTCTTGGGGCTGCTACCAGGAAGAACGAAGGAGCATGGTAGCTCGAGTAGTTGGAATACTGGGCAGGAGTTTAACAAGACCACATTCGAGAGCCGAGAGCTGCCGTGGGGCAGGGTTAAGCTCTTGTTTAGCTCCTGCTAAACATGAAAAGAGCTAAACTGGGCATCCCCATGACAGTGGTGATGTCACCACCTAATCCTTTCCACAGGAAGCACCTCGATGCTTCTGACTTGAGTGCAAAAAAACTAGGAAGAAAAAGTATCCCCTCTCTGGCCATATCCAAAACAAAGCATCCTTTGGAAGGGCACTTCCCATGGATGGGTCTAAGGGCAATTGCCTGTACTGCCCCAGAAAAGCCCTAAAGGGGAAAGCATCCATCCTACTTCCCTAAAGAAGCTTTCTGGTTTGCCTTGTTCTAAAATACTGAGCTGAGAGGAGTATGTCCTCTCCTTCCAGAAGATGGGAATGGAATCAGCCTATAGGTAGAAGCAAGTTACAGCAGTTGTGCCCAGGGAGCAAAAGAGGGGCAGAGGAGAAACTGTGTGAGAGAGGTTGTATGTATTGCAGGGAGGGGACCCACCAACGCAATCCTACCAAAAGCAACTTGGTACCTCTGATTTTTCCAGATTGCCTGGAGTCCTGTAGTCTCCGCTGTACACAACAGGAGGGTTTTCTGTTTGCCCAAAACCAGGATTTTCATTGTTTTTTCTGGGGAAATGTGAATAATTAGAATAACAATATCAATTGCCCCAATAACGTAAGACTCAGAACAACATAAAACAGGTAGTCCTCAATTGATGGCTGGTTGCTTAATGACTGTTTGAAGTTACAACATACCCTGAAAATGGGATCTACAATTCAGATTCAAAGTTCTGACATTTGGCGCGTGCATTTATGGCAATTTGCAGTATCCTGTGTCACACAACTGTGATTTACGATGTTTGTGCTGGAAAACCAGTATTTACTTCCAGTTTCTGGCAACCCCCCCCCCTTCCAATAGCAAACAACGTGTTCGCTTAATGACCATGGCATTTGCTTTACGACTGAAAGGGCAAGAATTGGATGTAGTCACAAGGTGACCCATTTTATGACTGTTACAACTTACTATTGAAATGGGGGGGTCAGTTACAGTTGTAAGTTGAGGTTCTGAATCAGCTTGTCAAAATTAATATGGGCTCCTCATTAAGGATAAGCTTACATATATGCATCACTTTGATCTTTGATTCGGATAATACACCAAAATATAGTTAAAGAAGCATTAACTGTGGCTTAATGCAGTGTTTTTCAATCTTGGCAACTAGAAGACATGTGGACTTCAACTCCCAGAATTTCCCAGCCAGCTTCAACTCTATTCTGGGAGTTGAAGTCCACATATCTTCAAGTTGCCAAATTGAACAACACTGGTTTACTGCTAAGCTGAGCAATGATGGCTGTGTATACTGTGGATTTCAAGACACACACACACACCCCTTGAATTAGTGTGCTCACAAATCCTGATTGGTGATCCATTACCTTGGAAACCCTGCTCTGTGTTTGCATCTCAGAGTCATAAGGAAAACCATTTTCAGTTGTGTATAAACCAAAGGAATTTGGGTTTAGATTTCTCCTTTCCCCAAAACTTACTTTTTTCTGGCCTGGCTGACATAGCACACCACAGCTATGAGTATGGCAAAGGCCACAACCGCTCCCACTGGTCCAACCTTCGCCCACATCAGACTGTCTGGAAGAAAGGAAGATACGGGTCAACAGAAAGTTTTAAAAGTGAATGCAAAGAGAAACCATATAAAGAGACAAGATGATAGTAGAACATAAGCCAGGAATATGGGCTCAATGGTTGGTTCATACATGGCACCAACACCAGTTTGTTTAATGGTGGTTGTTGAGTAAACCTCAGCTGGATTTGCAAGGCATGTTACACAGATCTCACTGTTGTAAAAAATAAGGGATCAATGGAATCACTGGATTTCCTGCACAAAAAAGAGGAGGTCAGGAAATGGGAATTAGAAGAGGCTCAAAGGGATTTTAGTACAGGTAGTCCTTGCTTAACAACTAGTTATTTAACAACTGTTCAAAGCTATGACAGAAAAAAACTACTTATGACTCATATTTGAAGCTGCACCCTCCCCTACAGTCACATGATCACTCAAGAATGAAACGTTGGTAGCTATGTGCCTCTTTATTTCAAGAGTAAGGGGAGGGTGTTGCTTTAGAATTGATTAGATGGAGAAACGAAGCCTCTAAGATTCCGTGGAAGACTGAGAGCTTGAAACCTTTCCAAGGATACTGTAGCAGGTGTAGAGAGGAAGCAGATGGTTCCCATAACAAAGTGAAATTGTTTACATGGACTACGTGAGAGAATGGGAGTTTGGCTGGAGAAATTATTGTTTAATTCTATGAACTGGTGTCTGGGAACCTCAGAGTTAGTTTTGCTTCAACATTACCATGCCATGTATTCAATAAACAGTAAGATTTTTGAAAATGGAATAAACCTGGAGTTTTATTTGGATTCTCGAGCTGGATGTTGACAATCATATTTTGGTGGTTGGCAGCAACTACCTCACATTTTTGTCTGGTTGCAGTGTCCTGCAATCACATGACTGCGATCCATTTTTTTTTTGTGGGGGAATTTCCCATACCTCCTGCCTGTCCCACTCTGCTAGCTTATCCCCTCAAGAGGTTTTGCTTTACCCAATATGGTATATAATGAAAATATTTTTTGCTTGCAATTTAATGGTGATAGTTTAGGTTCTCCTCTTTAGAGTCAGAGATAACCAAGTTTGGTGTCTCCCCTATAAGTGAAAGCCCAGCTGATATTTGAAAACTTCTAACACATAATATTTTGATTATTTATTTTCCAGGCTAAAGTTGGCCAATTTGTTGAACTTCTTTTCAACGCTTTGCTTTCTAACACTAGGTTTAATTCGTATTCCTGTCCAGAGGGAGACGGCAAGGTAAGCAAAAGTTGTGGTTCTTTGTAGTAGTCATGCCTTCTCACTTGAAGAGGGCAACTGAATAGGAAAGAGCCCCACCAAGGGGGAGACCCAGCAAGATCAGGGGGCTACTGGCTTTGCATTGGGCCAATAGTTGGTGTGTGAGCCTTGGCAGACAACTAATAAGACTGGCTCTTGATGGCAGCTCTGGGGAGGCTTAGAGGCCCATATGGCCCAATAGATTGAGGAAGAGCACCAGAGGGATCAGAGGAGATGTTTGCCTGCAGGGACTCTCACTGGAGTGATGGAACTGGAGCTGCTGGTTCTTGGTGCCGTAGAGATTCCTGGCAGAGCAGACTATGTAGAGCTGAGAGTCCACCTCCCTCTGAACAGTCAGGATGCTGGTGACAATGTAGCCTGTTTTCTGGGAGTACACAAACTCCCGGTCAGTCTCATTGACCGTCACATTGCGAGTGGGCAACTCAAAGGTGATCATAGCTTCTGGGTTGGCCTTGGCTGCACAGATGCATTTCACTGTATCCCGAGCGGCAGTGCACTTGGAGTCCAGAAGAATACGGGGAGCAACTGTGGAGAAAAAGAAGAGGCTGAAGTGCAATCACAGGTTGAACTAATAGCAATAGACTTATATATCACTTCATAGTGCGTTACAGCACTCTCTAAGCGGTTTACAAATGTCCGCATATTGCCCCCAACAATCTGGGTTCTCATTTTACTGACCTCGGAAGGCTGGAAGGCTGAGTCAAACTTGAGCCAGTCAGGATTGAACTCCTGACAGTGAGCAGAGTTGGCCTGCAATACTGCATTCTAATCATTGTGCCATCATGGCTCTTAAGAGCTTTCTTGGACTACAGAAGTCCTCTCTATGGAAACCCCTCTATTTATGCAAAGGTATATGACAGCTATGGGTTGGTCCACATTCTTGGGATGTATACTTCCAACGAATACATCAGCGAAAAGAGAATAAATGGGGAGAGGCATAGTCCAGGTCCACAATAATACAGAGGAGGAATTAGTTAGTCCCTCTTCTCCAACTTTATCCAAATTTACTGCCAACAGTTCCCCAAAGCTTTAAGAAAGAATCTTTCAAGGAAATAACAGAGCTCATAGCTAAGCCTATCTGCATTCAAAGTGCATGATCCAGCAGCACACTCTATCCAATCCCAAAATATGCTTGAGATCTTGAGGTCTCTCAGGGCACAAAACCAATGCTCACATTCAACGGTGAGATTGAAAGCAGTGCTGCTCTGGCCAAACTGGTTCTCTGCTGTGCACCAGTATTCACCATCATCTTCATGCGACACGGATTCAAACTCCAACTCCACATGGTTTTGGTAGATCCCCATGGCTAACGCCTTCTTATCCTTGAAGATGGTGATCGTTGGCTCAGGGCTGCTCTGTGAGCTGCAGAAAATAGTTAGAGGCTCTCCCTCAATGGCCACCACTGATACATTGACTACTGGTTTCCACGGAGCATCTACAGGGAGACAAGTCAGGAAGAATATGCATTTTTTTTTTACCAAAACATGGTGCAAATGGTCACCCTAGCTAAGAGCAGATTCCTCATCCCAGAATGGTTCAAAAGATGCTCTTTCAAAGATTTAAGCAATGTTGAAACTCCTTCAAACTTAGCAATATCATAGTAGAGTAGAGTAGAGTAGAGTAGAGTAGAATAGAATAGAATAGAATAGAATAGAATAGAATAGAATAGAATAGAATAGAATAGAATAGAATAGAATAGGAAGGGACCTTGGAGGTCTTCTAGTCCAGCCCCCTGCTCAAGCAGGAGAACCTATACCATTTCAGACAAGTGACTGTCTAGTCTTTTCTTGAAAACCTCCAGTGATAGGTACTGTATGGATAGCCAATGGTCTGTGGCTAACATGTGACTCCTAGATCTTTTTCTCTGGTCTCCAGAAAAAAATTCTGTTTCTCATGTTTTGCTATTAGTTAATTGTTGAGAGCACTTTGCTGTGATTCCTGCATTTCTCAGGGTTTCTGAACACGTAAAGATGATCGCTACTCAGTTTCAATATGTTTTGTAGAGATAAATTAAAACAGTGGTGGCATGGAAGCCTCCAGAGTACATTTGGATGTAGGATAAGATAAGATAACCTTTATTGTCATTTTTTTACTGTGGGCACAATGGTACACACCAAAAATAAAATTTAGATATGTGCCGTTGTGCCCATAGTAAAAAATTCAGTGCTTCTCAACTTTGGCAGCATGCTGGCTAGGGAATTCTGGGAAACAAAGCCCACCCATCCTCAATTTCTGGTTGAGAAATTCTGCTGTAATTATAAACACACGCACATACACACACACAAGTCCTCATGCTATGCTTTTGATAGGCTTGATGCATTTTTTTTACTTTAAAAAAAAGACACATTAGGAGCTAAAAAAAATTCCAGCTCTGTAATACTCCAGGGTTGAGAACACAACTTTATCCTTCCATTTTTATTTTTACATTTTAAACTTTAAAATGTATCCAAGGACTCTGGCAGCAAGCATAACCTGGAACCCATTCATGCTACTCAAAGTTTCTAAAAATTTTAAAGGATGTTGTAGAAACTTTGTGTAGCGTTAATGGATTCCAGGTTATGTTCGTTGCCAGAGTCATTGGATATGAGATGGGTGGCAAATAAATTTTATAAATAAATAAAATTAGGCTTTATCACAGAATGGGGATTCCATTCCAGAGCCCTAGATTAGCACTCACACAGCACAGACAAGGCAAGGGAGTGGTTGTCTTTGCCATAAATGTTCTCTGCCACACAAGTGTAGATGCCGTCCTGCAGGTGTGTTACATTGTCGAGGTAGAGCGTGAGGTTCCCAGCTAAGTCCTCATGGAGAATTTCATCTTCTCGGAGCCAGGTAATCATGGCTATGGGGCTGCTGTCCACAATACACAACAAGAACACATGAGAACCGTGTAGGACTTCCACGGAGGAGTTCACTTGCAGGATACGGGGTGGATCTGCAAAGGACAGATAAAGAGATCAGCTTTGGGCGCATATCCAGTTTTCTTTCTGCAGCAGATAAAGGTAGTAAGAAAGGGATATGCCTAGTATGGTCCAAAAAATCAGGACGGCAATCACATTAGGGCAACCAAAACTGTTTTTGTTGTTGTGTTTTATGGGCATTGCATCATCATCATCATGAGTGCTGTGGTGGTGCAGTGGTTAGAATCCAGTATTGCAGGCTAACTCAGCTCAGATCCTGACTGGCTCAAGGTTGACTCAGACTTCCATCCTTCCGAGGTCAGTAAAATGACCCAGATTGTTGAAGGCAATAGGCTGAGTCTGTAAACTGCTTAAAGAGGACTGTAAAAGCACTATGAAGTGGTATATAAGTTTAAGTGCTATTGCTATCTTGACTTTCTTGATCACAGTCCAGTTAGTACTTTTTTCCCCTTTGTTCCCTATGTGAACAAAAGCAGAATTTGAACGATTTTATTCCATTTAAATGATGAGATTGCAAGGCCTTGAAGAAGGTAAATAGTTGTCTAATTTAAAAAAAAGTACTTTTCCTTATGTTTGTGTGTAACGTTTCCCTGGTTACGTTAGTTTTTTTGTTTGTATGTGAACTAAAAGCAGATTCAGAATTTAAGAGGGAAAAATGACAGTGGGTGAGAAGCTGTTAGCACTCTAGGTCATTTTTCATTTAAACCATCTATTCCCAGTTACTCGTTTTCCCATGGAAGAGAAAGTGACATTGATTAGAGATGAAGGAAGTCTCATGAGAAATGAAATATGCACGTTTGAGGAATGTGACTTGCATTCATCTTTGACAATAGAAAAGATCATCTTTGACAATAAAAAAGGAAAAAGAATACATTAAAATTAAATCAGGAACAAAAAAAAAATGCTTTTCACATGGCACTGGCGCCAGGAATCCATTAATTACCACATAATTAAGTGCTAAATTAACTGCTAATCTCTCTCACCCATGCAGAATAGGAAGCAATTTTCTGGGACAGAAGCTTGAGCCATCTAATTAAAATTATGGACTTTTACATTAGAAAACAAGGCTTTCTTTCACCATAGTTATTTTGTGGAAGACAGAATTGTATCATGATGTTGGGCATTTCCCGATACTACAGATAGTCCTTGACTTATGACCACAGTTGAGCCCAAATTTCCGTTGCTAAGCAAGACTTGTTAAGTGAGTTGTGCCCCGTTTTATAGCCTTTCTTGCCATAGTTGTTAAGTTAATCGCTGTAATTATTAAGCTAGAAACATGGTTGTTAAATGAATCTAATTTCCCCACTGATTTTGTCAGAAAATCGCAAAAGGTGATCACATGACCCAAGACCCTGCAACCATCATAAATACATGCCAGTTGCCAAGCATCCGAATTTTGGTCATGTGACACTGGGGATGCTTTTAAGTGTGAAAAACAGTCGTAAGTCATTTTTTTCAGCGCTACTGCAACTTCGAACAATCACTAAACCAATTGTTGTAAGTCAAGGACTATCTGTATAATAATTTATTAAATGTTGAGCCATGGTTTTAATTCTGCTTTTAAATGGTTGCAGAAAAGAAACATCACATCAGAATGTATCATAGTATGGAGGTAATTAAAGAGCCTGAGTCCATCAAGTCTTGTGGCAGAAGTCCTCCAGTGTTCTCCAAGATTAAGATGGCAAACTGCCTTAAAAGTGCTACTTATCAACATCCAACTCACATTTGACATCCAGTGTCGAGAAGCCCTCAAACTCAAAAGTGGTGTTGGGGTAGCTGACTTTGCAGCCCACCTCATGGCCGTGGTTCTCACGCACTGGTAGGAACTTAAGGATGGAGATGAGTGACCAAATGCCACCTTCTTCCTCTATTTGTGCATAGACTGAATGTTCAGCTAAATTCTCATAGTTCATCCACGTGATGACAGGTTTCATGTCTGGACAATTGTCAGGCACCTCACAGCGCAGCTCTACTTCTGAACCCTCCACCACTTCTGGAGGATTCACAATTGTGGGCTTGTCTATGGAGTAGAAAGAGACAGAGAACATGTAGAAAATGGAATCACCCCACTCCTATCTTCTCCTCCAATTTAGAGGGTACTAGACAAACCAGTTGGATCATCCTTTTAAGAGAAAGTAATAGAGTTCGATATGACCAGAATGAGTGTTACATTTTAGGCTATTTTTTTTTTAACCCAAAGCTTGGATAATCCTGTGAGCATCTAGAAGAATATGTATCATAAATAGAAAAATAACTGTGGTGGCAAGCAAGCTGTCGTAATAAGTCAGTATTTACTTATGTAAACAAATAAACAGAATGACCAAGGGAAGGTTAAAAAAGCAGTGGGAGCGACTTTTGACTTACTGCCAGCTTCCCCATTGACTTTGCTTGTGGGAAGCTGACAGAGAGTGATGAAAATCACGATTACATAACTCTGCTGACACTGCAGTGGCTGCGACTTTATGAATAAAACTGATCATCATGGGAATTTCAATCCCACAGAAGTAATGGGTCACAGATTTTTTACACATTCTTTAAGTTAGTCAATTTTGAATAGCTTGATTAAAAAATAGTTGCAGTAAAATACAAAGTTTGGACTAACCTTAAGGTACGTGTAGACAAACGGATAAATACAATGAGAGTTTTAGCAGTATTTAGTAGTAGTAACTGCCATTAAATCAAATTCACACACTAGGAACTGATACTGTAGTGTTAGAGGAACTCTGGATATATAAAAGATTAGCTTCCTTGGAGAATACTAAAAATAATCCTTATGAGCTAAGATTGCGTCACTGTGAAGGATTTATCAAGTCCAGGTTCTGTTACTGTACCCCTTCTCTAAGGAGATACAGCTCATTGTATAACTCTAGCAAAATACCTCGGTAATTTTGATTTATTTTATCTATTCTTACCAGAATAGTTTCTTGAATGCAGATAAGCTAGGGAATTGTTTCTGTTTGAGATTGCAAACTCAAACAAAATGATGTATCATCATTTTATATTGTATGTATGTTGAGAGCTAGTGCACCGGAGACAAAATCCTTGTGTGTCCAATCACACTTGGCCAATAAACAGTTCCCTTCCCTTCCCTTCCATTCCATTCTCTCTATGGAAGGCTTCTACATCCCTTAAATGCTCCTGATTCTCATACTGTGTGAAAGGGCTCACCAGCTTAGACTCAACCCTATATAAGCAAGAGTTAGAACTGGTATTTCCCACTAGCATTGCCTGATACTCACTGATGACCTCAAGGTTGCAGTGCTCTGGATAGGTATATTGATTGTAGCCACCGAGGTCTCCCCGAAAGTAATACTTCCCTGTGAATTCAGGGTTGAGACGGGAGATCTGCAGGGTGCAGTTGCGGAAATTTAGCTCTCCCAGCAGTCTACTGCGTCCAGCGTAGCTCTCATGGACAATGTTGGTGCGGGATTTATAAACCACTGGGGGATAATTCTTGGGGTATGGACTGTTGAAGTACCAGATGCCATGGATGGTTGCTGGACGTAGCTCTTCTGGGTAGCTGAAGCGACAGGGGATAACAACACAGGTGCCTTCAAAGGCAGTGATGTGTTCGGGCATCCAGGCGCTCCACGGTCCTGCCAAGACCCCTTTGCAAAGGAGGCAGAAGAGAGTCACAATGAATGAGATAGAAAAACATATGGTTGCTGAATGACTGCCTGCTTCATGGCTGGTCTTTTCTCATTATCTGCTGTGACCACTCTCTCTCCGTGTTTGCTCCACTTGGCACCATTCACCCACTTGGCAGTTTATGCTTTACCCAAAAGCTGCCTTGTACCATATTGATTGAGATCACTGGCCCCTCTTACTGGGTATAGCGAATAGGGATCGTCTTGAGGTCCCTCTCAGGATCCTTCCTCATCTCTGTGTTACCTGCATCTCAGCTGCCTTTGAATTGGCAGGAAAAGCCATTGAGATCATTCATCTCTATGGCTGAGAGTGTCTCAGCAGTGAGACTGAATAGTGTTCCCAGATCTATAGATTTAATGGGAGACAGTTTCAGGGTAGAGACTGGAGAATTCTTGATTTCCTTCCCTGAGACTGGCATCATTATAAACTCCTGGGGGATAATTCTTGGGGTATAGACTTTTGAAGTACCAGATGCCATGAATGGTTGCTGGACGTAGCTCTTCTGGGTAGCTGAAGCTGCCGCAATTGTTGTCCATAATGAACAACACAGCAGGGTTGGGTGGAGACTCCAGTCACCCACATATTTTTTTGGGGGGGAAGAATACAGTATTTATGCAAAGTCACATACTCTCCTATGTTATGACCCAAACCTATATCCCCCTGCCTTGCTCTTTGTATTCCTGTTCCTTACACTACTGGGAAAAAAAGCACTAAAGTGAATATCATAGGTATTATACTCTATAACAGTGTTTTTCAGCCTTAGCAACTTTAAGATATATGGATTTCAGTTCTAGAATTCTGGGAATTGAAGTCTACACATCTTAAAGTTGTCAGGGTTGACAACTCCAGTAGTTATACCAGTGAGAAATTGGTCTACAAGCAACTTGAAACCCAATCTACAAAGAATTAGATGAGATAGGTCATACGTTTCTGATGGGTCATCGCGATGCAATTTGAGAGAATGTTACCAAGGCAGATTTCATTCTTTTTGTCCAAAAGTACCTTCAAATAGGACCCAGAAGGCCAGCAGCACCTTGCAGAAGAATGTCATGTTGTTTATTTTTGAAGAAATGTGTAGGTCAACCTAAAGGAAAGAGAGAGAAATAGGATGACATTCAAAGTAAGAGGATAATTGTTTGGCATAGTAAAACATTCCCTAGAGCAGTGTTGCCCAAACTTAGCAACTTTAAGATGTGTGTATGTCAACTCTGAAATTTCAGGGAGTTGGTCCACACATCTTAAGATTGTCAAGATTGAGAATTCTTGCCCTAGGAGACTGACTTTCCATTGTGATCTCGCTTCTAAAGAGAGAGATCCTACAAAAGAAATTTGCTATCTAGAACTCAGGCATCAGACCATCAGTAAGGAGAAATTGGGTTTTTGCCAGTACAGTAGAAGTTGTTTCCTGTTTGCATCCCATAACTATGTCAGTTATAGCTAATATGAAGATTGTATGCATTAGCTGTGCATTCATGCAAAAACAATATTCAGGCAATTGAAGGGTTTTAAGCAGTGTTTCTCAACCTTAGTTACTTTGTGTTGTGTTCAATTCCCTGAAAGTTCACACATTTTCAAAAGGCCAAGTTGAGCAATGCTGGGTTTAAGGTTACTGAATACAACCTGAATCTGAGGATGCTCAATAGTAAAATTGTTTCATCCATTCTGTTGATGTTTTTATACAATACTGGTGGGAAATTATACACAAAGCTCCTGATGCATACATGTTTAGTGTTGGAAATTGAGCAGAGCCTGTCATAATCGCACCAAAGCTGCATTCATATATCGCGTAAGCCATACTGTCTAATTTGATACAGCATATTGTGTAAAGCCAGCCTACCTGTAGCTTATACAGCAAACTATGGTTAAGGAAATGGTGTCTCTTAGTGTCATGTGTGAACCCTGTCATAGAGAAATGAAGGTGGTGTTATCCAAGGCATCTTGGTTGGATTTTTATCCTATACAGTAATATCTGTTTGTTTTTAATTTTTGCAAAGCCAACTTAGCAGAGGTGATCTCCCGAAGGTTGGAATGTTCTGTAATGTTTATATAACAATATTTTTCTTTTTTTAAAAAATCAAGATATTGTTTTACTTTGTTTGCTCTCTTGTGCCAGCAGAGGGAAGCAGTATTTCATATATTCTCCACTGCCTGATTGTGCTCTTAGGGCAACAGTGCAGAGAATGTGGCAGTATTGAAGTCTGATGTCCACCTCAGCCCAACTGTTAAAAGAGTCTTTGCGCATTAAGGAGAAGGATTTCCAGCATGAAAGCAGTGAGGTGGTAGAAAAAAGCAGAAATACTGGTACTAAGTCCTGTTTGGGATGGGGTGGAGAAGGAAAATTGGCCAGGCTCCTGGATTGCCAAAGCCAAATTCTGCTAACCCATCTGACATGTAGTCCTGGTGCAATAGAGTCTAAGAACTCATAATTCCAGGCTGTTGGTCATGATCTTGGGCTGTTGCTAGCCCTCCAAGGTAATCCAGACTAGAAGCACAATCAGGAGTACTGGCTATATCTTTACTGTAAGGTTACATTAACAAAATCTTGCAAGACTAAATATTTCTTCCCTTCCTTCCTTCTATTCTCTGGAAAACTGGGGAGGGTCCCTTCTGAAATGAATAACAGAATTGGAAGGGATCTTGGAGATTTTCTAGTCCAACCCCTTGCTCAAGCAGGAGACCCTATACCATTTCAGACAAGTGGTTGTCCAGTCTCATCTTAAAAGCCTTCAGTGTTAAGAGCACCCACAACTTCTGGAGGCAAGCAGTTCCACTGGTTAATTGTCCTCACTGTTAGAAAGCTTCTCCTTAATTCCAGGTTGCTTCTCTCCTTGATTATTTTCCATTCATTGTTTCTTATCCTGCCTTCTGACGCTTTGGAAAATAGATTGACTCCATCTTTTCTTTGTGACAGCCCCTGAGATATTGGTATCATGTCATCCCTAGTTCTTCTTTTCACTTTTCACATTCAAAGATGGGAGCTACATCTGTCATGCTTCCGTCTGAGCCTGAATCTGCGGAGGAAAATGAACTAGAATGGGGCCCTATGGAGGCCGAAGGAGAGGTGTCTGTGGCTTCAGAGCAGTGGTTCTCAACCTGTGGGTTGGGACCCCATTTGGGGTCGAACGACCATTTCACGGGGGTCGCCAAACCACGCTGTCCACCATTTTTTCCCTTTTCCCTAGCTGTCCTACTCCCTCTTATTGGTGGCCACACCCACTTGGGGGTCACCACAACATGGGGAACTGTATTATGGGGTCACGGCATTAGAAAGGTTGAGAACCACTGCTTCAGAGGAATGTGGGGAAGAGCAGGCCAAGGCAGGCCAGGGCCCTTCAGGATTGGAACAGGAAGAACAGGAGAGGCAGAGTTCAGGCGATGAGCAAAGGCCACCCCCACCTGATCCTAGAGCACGGAGAGTGGAGAGAAGGAGGGAACAATGCAGGCAGGCTCAATTACTCGGGAGGAGACCATCCCCACCCTTCTCCACAAGGAACACCTGGAGATTGAGATTTAAAGAGAGGCTGTGGGGAGGGGCAGTTGTTGGAAATGAACGCTGATTCTCGGAGTGTTGTGTATTATTGCTGGTCTCTTGTTCTGTGACTTCTGTTTGGAAACCTGGAAACTTGAACTATTGGATTGACTGACGTTACTTGAATGTTTAAAGACCTCGGACTGTATTTTGGATTCTCTCTTTTGAAAACTGCTCAGGCAAGCTAGGATTCAAACAGACTCCTTAAGTTTGTTTTCTTCCTTGTTATCGCTATGGCCTTGAGTACTTTTCTTATGCTAATCAGCCAGTTATTTGAACCTACTTTCAGCCAGAGTCAGCTGAAGGTGTGTGTGTGTGTGTGTGTGTGTGTGTGTGTGTGTGTGTGTGTTCTTTTGTTGGAGGCTTGCCAGCAAAAGTGGGAGCATTTGGGGAAAATTTGGAGCAATAAAAGAATTGTTTGAATTGCCAACTGACTGCATTGCCTCTGTGCTGTGCCCTGGGTCATCACAACATCTTTATGCCCAAAGCCCAACTCCTTTTATGGTACACATCATTAAAAACGGTGGAGTTCTGAGCACAGGGCTGTGGCCTCCAACTAGACTTGTTTGACACACCCCCCAGACACCCCTGAAAGTACAAAGTGAGCATTCCATTAAACCACGGAAGAGGAAGTTAGAAAAGCCCCTGAATTAACAAAAAGGACACACGAAGGAGCTGCATTTGGCAAATAATCCACTCTTTCTGACTGACTTTTAAACATATAATTTTATATAGTTAGAAAGAAGCACCAAGGAGGAAACAGTATCCCTGCCAATACAAATAGTTCTCAACTTACAACAGTTCATTTAGTGACCGTTCAAAGTTACAACAGCACTGAAAAATGTGACTTATGACCATTTTTCACCCTTATGACCATCACAGCATCCCCATGGTCATGTGATCAGAATTCAGACGCTTGGCGACTGACTCATATTTATGACGGTTGCAGCGTCCCAGAGTCACATAATCCCCTTTTGCGTCCTTCTGACAAGCAAAGTCAATGGGGAAGCCAGATTCACTTAGCAACCCGTGTTACTAACTTAACCACTGCAGTGATTGACTTAACAACTGTGGCAAGAAAAGTCGTAAAATGGAGCACAGCCTCACTTAACTAACGTTTCGCTTAGCAACGTACATTGGGGGCTCAATCGTGGTCGTAAGTCAAGGACAACCCATACTGGCAGGGTAAGCTACTGTAGAAGTAGACCTTGAGGTGTGGCAATTGGGACCAGAATTTTCATAAGCAAGGCAATTTTTAAGTGAGTCACCGCTGATTTTACTATGTATTTATTTTGACATGATTAAGTGAATCGCTGAAGTTGTTAAGTGAAACACACGGTCGTTAAGCAAGTCCAGCTTCCCCCATTGACTTTGCTTATCGGACGCAGGCTAGGAAGGTTGCAAATGGCAGTCACATGACCTTGGGATGCTGCAATCATTGTAAATGCTGGTTGTCAAGCACCCAAATTTTGATCATCATCATAATAATAATGTTGGAAAGGACCTTGGAGGTCATCTAGTCCAACCCCCTGCTCAGGCAGGAACCCTATACCATTTCGGACAAATGGCTGTCCAGTCTCATCTTAAAAACTTCCAATGTTGGAGCATTCACTGCTTCTGGAGGGAAGTTGTTCCACTGGTTAATTGTTCTCACTGTCGGGAAGTTTCTCCTTAGTTCTAGGTTGCTTCTCTCCTAGATTAGTTTCCATCTGTGGCTTGTTGTCCTGCCTTCAGGTGCTTTGGAGAATAGCTTGACTCCCTCTTCTTTGGGGCAGCCCCTGAGATATTGGAACACTGCTATCATGTCTTCCCTCATCGAGTGACAGTCATGTGACATGTCATGTGACAGTAGAGATGCCATGACCATTGTAAGTGTGGGGACTGGTGGTTAGCCACTTTTTTCAGGGCCCTTGTAACTTCAGATGGTTGCTAAGCGAATGGTTTAAGTTGAGGACTAGCTGTATATAAGCAGGCAGCAAATCACATACTCACTCGAACTGATGATGTCACCTAGTAGGGTACTGAGATGTCTGCAAGCAAACAGCCAAGCTCAGGGAGCACCAAGAACTCCACAATTTTATTTATGCATTCGATCAATATATTGGATATAATGTAGATTCTTTACCAGCCAAATGATCTCTGGTGCTGGGAAAGATGGAAGGAAAGAGAAGAGGATGCCCAGCGGCAGGTCAGCACTGTGTGCTTGATAAGAATCAACATCATTTTCATGGCACATAATCAATTAAAATTTTCAATGCCCTGCACGAAATCCTTAAAGAATCCAAAATTACGCCTACATAAAGAAATCCCATTGTGGAATTTAGTGTTTAGTGCTGAGGAAACTCATGCTTTCAAATTGTAACAACACTACATTGAAATAATATGTTATCCCCACAAGGGTATCTGTATTGCCAGATGGAATAAACAGTATCAGATGTGCAAAATCCCTCCAGCTGTGTGTCTCCAGAATTAACGACAAATGGAAATGTCTTTGTAGCTAAGGCAATTGATTATTCACCTCCAACTTCTGCTTCTTTGTCCTCAAATCTGCCAGAAGCTTTCTCTTCTGCACCATCACAATTATAGTTAAGCATCCTGCAGAGAGCATCGTGTTTTCATTTTTTTTATAAAAAGCATGTTTCTAGTGCTTATGGCTCCGAGGAAATAGATTTACAATTTAACATGAATGTCTCTTTAAATCTTAGGAAATGAAATGGCTGACCTGGTGTGATTCACAGATCCTTTGCCTGGCCGAGAAAATGGAATCATGGGCTCAGATTATAATTAATTAGTGATGTTCTTATAGGCGAAATAGATACATTTGCAGGCAAATAAATACGAGGCAAGAAGGTGAAGTGTCAACCAATACCTTTTGCAAGAGAGGAATGTCACAAATAGATCACTTGCTACATAGGTAGGTAAGACTATTGAGTGTAGCCAATCAATAAACTCTGAAATCACCAGGATTTCATTTATGAGCTATGTTCCTCAGTGATGTGCTGAGAAAAAAAGGGAAAGACAATCAGAAGGCTTATAAAAGAAAATAAGGTGGAACCTGGCGTGATCTAAATGCTGCTGGCACTCAATTTCTTGCTGAAAAAACATTGGGGGAAGGGATGGCAAGGAGAAATGGATTTTTCTGTGGATGTTCAGTAACAAATTCAGTTTAGTTCTGAACCAGTTGGACTAGGGACTCTTGAAAGTTGTTTATATATATATTTGATTTAGTTGGAAGGGCTTAAGTCTACAGGGTAAAGCTTGATCTCCTTGGCCTTATTCTGGGGGATGCTTATCTGCACTTCTGAGCAGAAACACAACTTTCAGGGGCAACCATGCCCTGCACTATTTTGTTACAGTCCCATTCGTTCAG